AAGGACCCAACTAATATATCATCATGACAATCATCTTGATCTAAATCAATGTTCATCTTCGTTATCACCACCATGACATGATCATCATGACAACCATTTTGATCAAAACCAATTCTCATCTTCGCTATGAACACCACTAATATTATCATCATGACAATCATCTTGATCTAAATAAATGTTCATCTTCGTCATCAACACCATTAACATGATCATCATGACAACCATCTTGATCTAAATCAATTCTTATCATCATCGTTATCACCATCACTAACATTATCACCATGACAACCATCTTGATCTAAACCAATTCTCATCATCGTTATTAACACCTTGAACATGATCATCATGGCAACCACCAATGTCTAAACTAATTCTCATAATCGCTATCATCAGCACTAATATTATCATCATGGCAACCATCTTGATCAAAACCAATTCTCATCTTTGCAAAGGACACCACGAATATTATCATCATGACAATCATCTTGATCTAAATCAATGTTCATCTTCGTTATCACCACCATTGATATGATCATCATGACAACTATTTTGATCTAAACCAATTCTCATCATCGTTATCACCATCACTAACATCATCACCATGACAACCATCTTGATCTAAACCAATTCGCATCATCGTTATCAACACCATGAACATAATCATCGTGGCAACCACCAATGTCTAAACTAATTCTCATAATCGCTATCATCAGCACTAATATTATCATCATGACAATCATATTGATCTAAATCAATGTTCATCTTCGTTATCACCACCATTGACATGATCGTCATGACAACCATTTTGATCAAAACCGATTCTCATCTTCGCTAAGAACACCACTAATATTATCATCATGACAATCATATTGATCTAAATCAATGTTCATCTTCGTCATCACCACCATTAACATGATCATCATGACAACCATCTTGATCTAAACCAATTCTCATCATCGTTATTAACACCTTGAACATGATCATCATGGCAACCACCAATGTCTAAACTAATTCTCATAATCGCTATCATCAGCATTAATATTATTATCTTTGCAACCATCTTGATCAAAACCAATTCTCATCTTCTCTAAGAACACCACTAATATTATCATCATGACAATCATCTTGATCTAAATCAATGTTCATCTTTGTTATCACCACCATTGATATGATCATCATGACAACTATTTTGATCTAAACCAATTCTCATCATCGTTATCACCGTCACTAACATTATCACCATGACAACCATCTTGATCTAAACCAATTCACATCATCGTTATCATCACCATGAACATAATCATCATGGCAACCCCCGATGTCTAAACTAATTCTCATCTTCACTATCATCAGCACTAATATTATCATCATGGCAACCATTTTGATCAAAACCAATTCTCATCTTCGCTATCATCAGCACTAATATTATCATCATGGCAACCATCTTGATCAAAACCAATTCTCATCTTCGCTAAGAACACCACTAATATTATCATCATGACAATCATCTTGATCTAAATCAATGTTAACCTTCGTTATCACCACCATTGACATGATCATCATGACAACTATTTTGATCTAAACCAATTCTCATCATCGTTATCACCATTACTAACATTATCACCATGACAACCATCTTGATCTAAACCAATTCGCATCATCGTTTTCAACACCATGAACATAATCATCATGGCAACCACCAATGTCTAAACTAATTCTCATAATCGCTATCATCAGCACTAATATTATCATTATGGCAACCATCTTGATCAAAACCAATTCTCATCTTCTCTAAGAACACCACTAATATTATCATCATGACAATCATCTTGATCTAAATCAATGTTCATCTTTGTTATCACCACCATTGATATGATCATCATGACAACTATTTTGATCAAAACCAATTCTCATCATCGTTATCACCGTCACTAACATTATCACCATGACAACAATCTTGATCTAAACCAATTCACATCATCGTTATCACCACCATGAACATAATCATCATGGCAACCCCCGATGTCTAAACTAATTCTCATCTTCGCTATCATCAGCACTAATATTACCATCATGGCAACCATTTGATCAACACTATGAATATGATCATCATGGCAACCACCAATGTCTAAACAAATTATCATCTTCGCTATCATCAGCACTAATATTATCATCATGGCAACCATCTTGATCAAAACCAATTCTCATCTTCGCTAAGAACACCACTAATATTATCATCATGACAATCATCTTGATCTAAATCAATGTTAACCTTCGTTATCACCACCATTGACGTGATCATCATGACAACTATTTTGATCTAAACCAATTCTCATCATCGTTATCACCATTACTAACATTATCACCATGACAACCATCTTGATCTAAACCAATTTGCATCATCGTTATCACCACCATGAACATAGTCATCATGGCAACCACCAATGTCTAAACAAATTCTCATCTTCGCTATCATCAGCACTAATATTATCATCATGGCAACCATCTTGATCAAAACCAATTCTCATCTTCGCTAAGAACACCACCAATATTATCATGACAATCATCTTGATCTAAATCAATGTTAATCTTCTTTATCACCACCATTGACATGATCATCATGACAACTATTTTGATCTAAACCAATTCTCATCATCGTTATCACCGTCACTAACATTATCACCATGACAACCATCTTGATCTAAACCAATTCACATCATCGTTATCACCACCATGAACATAGTCATCATGGCAACTACCATGTCTAAACTAATTCTCATCTTCGCTATCATCAACACTAATATTATCATCATGGCAACCATCTTGATCAAACCCAATTCGCATCATCGTTATCAACACCATGAACATAATCATCATGGCAACCATCTTGATCTAAACCAATTCGCATCATCGTTATCAACACCATGATTATAATCATCATGGCAACCACCAATGTCTAAACTAATTCTCATCATCGTTATCACCATCACCATCACTAACATTATCACCATGACAACCATCTTGATCTAAACCAATTCTCATCATCTTTATCAACATCATGGTCATGATCATCATGGCAGCCACCAATGTCTAAACTAATTCTCATAATCGCTATCATCAGCATCTTCGCAAAGAACACCACTAATATTATCATCATGACAACCATCTTGATCTAAACCAATTCTCATCATCTTTATCAACATCATGATCATGATCATCATGGCAGCCACCAATGTCTAAACTAATTCCCATCTTCGCTAAGAACACCACTAATATTATTACCATGATCACCATCTTGATCTAAGCCAATTCTCATCATCGACCTTTGGCAAGTAGTATCTAGGTTAAAATGCACAATTAGGAAGGCCTATTCTGCACAAAGAAACTACCAAAATATATCACACGAGAAAGACAATAAAAATGCGTACTACAAATAACCCATGTAAGAAATTCCAGAGAATATTCTAGTCAGAAGAAACTGGGCGTAACGCAAAATAGGACAATTATTTGTCTTGTTTGATGAGTCTGCGAGTTTCGTTAATGCATAGGATGGCCACGAAATCATATTAGAATTCTGAAAACCAAAGAGGAGATACTCGAAGATAGTATGGATACACACATGGCCGTGCACAATCACAGTATAGCAACGGTCATAAGCAGGTTTTCAGTGACTTCAGCATTACATGAATGTTATATCTGTATCCACGCACTGTATAATATCACAGCATATACTATAGTAGTTTACATTATTTGGTTGAACATCAAGTGCAATGTATATTATGCATTATAAATGCTATTTTTAGAATAATTAAACTTCTAGTGTGTTCAAAATAACCCAATATACACACGCCTGTGACGGTCAAATATACTGTAAAATACTTTATTATAGTTAGAATTAATTTTCGCTGGAACGACTTTTTGGGTGTTTTGTATGAAATTTATTTTCACTGATTTTTGACAAGTAAAATATAGAAAAAAAAGTATATTTTCTGGATTTTATTTTCACTGAATCATTCCTTCAGCGAAAATTAATTCCAAGCGAAAATAAAGTATTTTACAGTACTACGGCAAGTCGGGTGCTGTCGCATGTGCCATATGATTTACGGATTTGACATGACGCCCTTTTAACGGATGATAATGACCACAATTAACCAATTCTTTCAAGACGGCTATCAATGATAAATTCTCAACTGGGGAAATATTTACATATTCTTACTTAAAATGCGCATGATTCCAAGCGAATTCTTCAGTGCGTTTTCCCATGCCTAAGAGAGGACGCTGACTATCTACTTGAATGTGTGTCCCCTGGCTACTCTCACTCAGTTTATGTACACTTAACATCAAAGTTCCCGCTGAAAAATCCTTGCTTTGGTGTCAAACGAAAAAGATGCTTTTTTCTACACAAAACGATCACCTTTTTGTATTATATTACCAACTACATTTTCTAAAATGACTCGTCGCTGTATTCTGGAATATTTAAATTGTTTTTTAACACACATTGGAACCACGGCGGTCTCATTACGGTATTTGTGGACACCGCCCAACCCAAAAACCTGATCGAGATTGCTCTCTGAGAACTGGCAAAATTGTTTTATCAAATTCAACAAATTTGTGCCTTATCTGTGGTATTTTCCAAACCGTGCCGCCAATCCATCAGATTGTTTAATGAGTGCCGGGGGCTAAGTACATGAATATACACACAACCAACTTTAGTGGCGTGGTGAGTGATAAAATACAAATCGTTAATTGCAGGAATATACAAAAAGGTCATTCGTATTTCCCCTTGTAAATGTGATCGGAAACGTGAAAATGTTGTCACAGGATAGGCCCAGAATTTCCGCATGCACAATACTTTTTACTTTTAGACAGTTTTGTTACCTTGTAGAAAAAAAATGTTCTCCTAACCTGCTTTCATATTGGAATTAAATGTCACATTCACAATTATTAGTTACACTCGTATAAACAAAATGTTAATTATTCTGATTATATTATAACCACAGTCACTTAAATATTTATATGCGTATAGCGGATAATTTAAAAAAAAAGAGTATTTCTTGATTTTCAGCTTCCAAGTGACTGTGATTATAACCACAAAGTTGGCTCATTTTGTGTAGCTACGTCCTGGTAGCCATATTTACCTGATGCGACAGAAGAGAATGTAACGTTGGTGCGTACGTTTCGGCCACCATTCAGTTGCCACCGGTGGTTTCGGCAACACATGCTTTCTGGCTTATCGATTTAGTTCATGCCCTTACGTATATTTACATTTGTTAAAGTATTTACTTTCATTTCAAACGTTACAAGTATGGCTTAAATGTTTATTAACTAGCATGAAACTAATTTTTTTTAGTTATTTACTAATAACTTGCATGTTGGTTATTTAATTTTAATTCATATGTTGCAATTACGAAATATAGTTTTTCATTTATTATAATAATAGTAATAGTTTATTACGCAACTGTAATCTGCTGTGGATACAGTAGGTGAAAATAGTGTGAAATAAAGCAACTAAAAATAACTACAAAAATAGTAAAAAATAGTGTGAAATAAAGCAACTAAAAATAACTACAAATTTAAAAGTTCTAATAACTACAAAAAATCAGAAAGTAATAAATTAATAACTTGTGCGTTGACAGCACGGCGTATTTCAAATTACTTAGTTTGACTCGTACGTTGCAAGAACTTCTTAATTATATTTATTTTCTAATAAATAATATATATAACTGCAAGAACTCAATAGATAAGATGTCAAACATGTGTGTGACCAAACTTCCGGGGTGCTCAGTGTTGACTGAAACTTCCTGCGTCCCGTTGGTGTTGACATAGCTTTGTTGTCAGTCCTTCTGAGGTGTGAATTCGGTAGGGGATTACCCCCACCCATTTCACACCTCTGGGGAACTAAGGTTACATGAAAATAGCACCCACCGTAGCATGTCCCTGTTTTCTAAGGTCTTGGTTATTTGTTACTAACAAAATTTATTGCATATGTAATACATATGTGTGTTAAATTATGTCATATATCTTACTTCATGTGTGCGCATTCTTCGAAAATATTAGAAAAAGAAATGTTTGAATCACACATCCTATTTTTTCTTCTTTCTATTTAGGAGCACTACGCAGCCGAAGCTAGGGAGTCAAACGGGTTCAAGTGCATGACATAGGAGTGCATTGTGGGTAAATGACACACTTGAGTGTCTTGATAAGGGGTCGATGATCAATTTACACGGAGAGATTTTAAACAGTCAACATTTTATCTAGATGTGAGATCCTGCCGAGCTCACCACATTCAAGATATATTCGATGTGTCAGACTACTGTGTGAAACCACGGTTCCTAAACCGTGGTAAGACAAGCTGACCACAAGGAGAGCCAAGGACTTATATTTAGAACAGTATAAGCGTTTACAATGCTGGAATCAGCTCTGTGTGCGTTAGTTGTACTTTGTTTTTGTGTTTGCTCGCCAGTTACCGCCAACAAGTAAGTCGATGCTGATGATATATATATATATATATATATATATTTATGTATTTTGTTAATATTCTTTTGTAGTTTTAGTATAACTAGTGTCGCCCGATCAGAACAGTTGCATTTTGTAGTTTGTACTTTAATAGTTGTTCCGCTGCAGTAATGTAAACGATTACCGAGATACGATAACCTCTCAGACTGGCATTTAAAGAACCGTATTATGAGTTGAAAAGTTTGTTTTCGTCTCAAAGGAAACTGGATAATGACACCCTTTTAGAAATGAAAATGTTTTAGTTTAATGGTATACCCATTGTACTCCATAGTGGTGTGCGAGGAAGGATTCTACGGGGGCCAAGGACACATTTTTGTAGTGTTCCGTTGCTGATTCATCAAACAGACGCAGTAAGATAACACATGCTGGCGTGTTTACGATGAAAGGTTTATATTGAAAACTTAGCTCCTTGAAACAAATCAACTTTATATATAACGTACGTATGCTGTAAACATACGTGACATCGTTCGGCTGTGCACTCTTTCTCTGATAACAGTTCTCTATCACTGGTAGAGAGACTGTGGAATTTCAAATGAACCAGCATATCTGTAGTTCATTGAAACACGTACTTCCCCAGAAGGGATTAAATTGGTTATATAACAAAACAATTAAATGAAGGAGAATGATACAAATACAAAACAAACCACATTCAAAACACAAACTAAATACAAACCTTAGAAAGTTGGAGACATGCGCAGTTACAGTAATTTCTTTTTGTTTTAACCGTGGCTATAATCGTCAAATAAGTCATCAATCTATTTAACATCTGTCGCAAAACCGCACAAGATGTTTATGGTCTTACCTAAAATGACTTACTAGTACACTATAACGATAATAACACATTCTTAAATACAATCAACGTATCTATAGCAACCAATTCAACTTTCGTTGCTATACTGTATAATATTTTAATTAATTTTCGCTGAAAAGGACATTTTGGCTATTTTGTAATAATAATAATAAACTTTATTGATATCGTATCCTTTATAGGATCTGGAGTTGAATTATAGTTTGTATTGCGGTCATTTTTGACGAGCTAAGTGTAAAATAAAGGGAAAAAAGGTATTTTCGGTGGATTTTATTTATTTTCACTGATTCACGAAAATAGAGAAAAAAAATTTCTAAGTTAAAATATGGTAATCTGCAGTACATGATAAGGATGAAAACTCAGTATGTATCCCCTATAATGTATGAGCCGCAAAAATATTTGTTTTAAGATTTACCTAATCGATTCAATACAAACATTAGGTTTCCCGCCAAGAGAAATGCCTCTTGTGGTTCAGCGGGATATAGAATATTTATATAAACGTGATATCGGTTACCAGAAGTATATATTGTGTGTGTGCGCGCGTGGCATCTGGTTAATCCATTCAACATTCCCACATGGACGCGTTAGCGATGCTCAGTGAACCGGTGTGACATTTCCACGTGTTCACTGCCATGACGTTAGTTGTTTTGGTATCCCCTGATCTAAGCCTATCTGTTACATTGAAAATTAATCGTCTTACGTCTTATTTAGTAAAAACTGGATGCCGGACGGAAGATCGTAAATTACAGTTTTCGACGAAATGAATCATTAATTTAAATGTACGAATAGAATTATTCCGGTTATTTTTCACAAACGTCGTGTTGTGCCCCAGCAGTCATTAGGTGTATTCCGTATAACCGGTTTGTGTGAATTATGGTATTCAAGTATCGTTTAGTAAAAAGAAACATTAGACCCAACACACGATAATGAATTGTTACCACAAACTACTTGCTTCCTCGGGAATTCGAACTTGAAACTTTTCTTAACAATTTTGTCACCCTTATGCTTTGCCAAGTCGGTTCGTTAGTAAGCCAAACAAAATCGGATCACCATGTTTCCATGGGAATTTTTATATTTTTATGTTATTTATATAGCGTCAAAACTCAAATGGTGGCATTTTGAAAAAAAATATGGTGAAATATGAAATATTTTTGAAATTTGATAAAAAGGTAGGCGAACGTGGTGACTTGATATATATAAAACAACGCTAACTTAGTCCACTGTCGTGAGAGAACACCATATTGGGTACGCTACATATCCTGAACTCATTACTATTAGTAGAAGAATAACAGCAACAGTCGTAGCGCCACGTGTATTCTTCACTAAGTTCTAATCATCTTTAGTTTCGGTAAGGCACATGATGTCAAATATATTTGCTCGAGTCATCTTAACGACTTTATCAATTTAATTTTGCAGTGGATATTTAGTTGCTGCACCATCGGTGTTTCGCCCTGGCGTAACAGAAAGTATAAGCATTACAATATTCGAAGCCACTGAACCTATACCCGTGAGAGCGTATCTTGTCGTCCATGAACACCAAATCGCGTTCACCAAGGGACTTATTTTAGGTAAGTTTGTTATAATTATACCAATTTCACGCGCTATATACAATATGTTGAAGAATCACAATATGTTGACAATTACAGTTTTGTCTATTCCAGTCAATCTCCAGAAAAGTGCTGCAAATAATACTCGAATCATGGAAGGCAGAAGGACCTTTTACTTTCCATGCTCGAATGTCATAAGTCCCGAATTGTACAGAATCTTTAAATAATGTGCAACAATAAAAATCAACACCATATATGTTTGGGGGTAGTTTACATAACAAGACAATATTTGTTGGCACGATTTTTATTCTAATACACGCAAAGACGCGATATTGTGTCTATTAAACATTCACGGGAATGTTAACATACATACAATGTGCTTTTTATTTTCCCATTAAACGTCGGTACTTTCACCAGCGGGAATTCTCATTCTTGCCAATGTGTATAGTTAGTCAACTTTCCTAATAACGCTAATATAATCTGTGATTTAATGTATTTTAACGATACTTTTTAATCAAATTATTCGATTGTTCATATGTGAACATAGTAAAAATAGTAAAACGCCGAGAGTGATGAAATATTCACGTGAACGTGTAGTCATAACACCGAATCTCCTACAAGGAAATAATCATGTGACATTGGGACAGAATGAGCGAACAAACTTGTAGAATTTATATTCACAGGCAAATAAACGCAACTTAACACAACGTGACACAACGCAGACGCCGGGGATTACTGTACGCACACGGTAATACAAACAAACAGAAAAAACTGTTTAGAGAAAACTGGCAAAAAATATCACTGTATCCACTGATTTACAAAACAACATGTTACATTATTCTCACGGCAAAATACAAATACATGTATTAGTATTATCTTGAAAGGAAGTACGGTTCCTTCAGGGCGTTTTACGTCAATCAGATGACCAACAGTTCCAAACTGTCAACCATCCAGCGGGAAAACAGTGTGATTGTGAGTGAATATTTGAATTGGGACTACGAGGTTGGTGATTTGATACGGTTTCCGTCGTGGTAATGGTTGTTCAAGACTTGACACATCTGTAATGGGTTGTAATAGCTGACATTAAGACGCAGATGATAGATTCAAGTGTTCTTTCAGATATGATGGCATATTTTAGTGGCAGATTAATGGCTAGTTCCGAAAGTAATTACTGTTGCCTGGACGATTGAAGTCCTCTAAGATCGAAATCGTGTTAGGTGATTGCAAAACACACGTGGCTTTGCCCAAGGGTTCTGTACATACGAATATTTTTTTACACATCGCGCATTTTGTTTTTACCCCACGCACATTTCTGTAAGTTTGGCGTAGATAAGACGAATACCTTCTCATGCAAGTAACAGCATGTCACGTGATCATCGAAGAACCTTACAGCGCGCTAATGCAAATGATGACATGGCATGGTTTTATTGGCTAGAGTAGAGGTCTTCGACCTACTGTAAAACTTTTGTGTTTTGGTAGTCTTTAGTTCCTGTGACAGAACATTCCAGAATTGAAATGTTCACTGTCACATTTCGTGATTTATTAAGACTCACCAAATTTTCCCCTCGCGAAATTAAAACGGGTTATATCAACTGCGCGTTGTTCAAGCCCGACACACCCTCGCCTCAAACCAGTCTGTCCTTCCATGGAGGTAAAAAATGACTCTTTACCTCCATGGTCCTTCTAAGCTGAGACTAGTATGCAAATAACACCGAATAAACGGCAAGGTAAATACTACATCACCTAATCGAATAGCTTCACGTCACTACACGTCTCCTCCTCGGCCACCGGGCATCCTCCCAAAAATTATGCTTAAAGGGCGGCAGTCGTCGCGCCGCGTCCTGTTCGATATGGGACTCATAGCAACGTATACAACGCGTGTAAAATACATTGTTTATTTACATGAAATTCGAACACGCGCTGTGCGACGACCAAAAGCGCTTTAATAACCGAGCTTATTGCGTGCAAAGAGCATGAAACCCGTCCATGATATGATATGGGGATGCCGTACGCGAGCGCCTGTTCGAGTCACGCACGCAGTACGTGTTTACTATAATTTGACGTAGTATTTACCTTGCCGTTTATTCGGTGTTATTTGCATACTTTACTTTCCATGTCTACAGCATACAATGTCATTTTAAGAACAGTTTTCATAATGAAACGCATTTCCTCGATAAAAAAACAACGCTAAAATATTGTAACTTTGTTAATACTTTCAGACATCAATAAATACCCCGTAAGACCCTACATAACTTTTTTTCGCCATATCTCACCGAGTAAAAAGTTTGAGATATATCCGTTCCATGGTTAAATCTTCGTGACATGAAATAAAAAATACGTAAAAATGAAGAAAATGACAATATTTTTATTTTTGTGTAGCATTCTACCTTATAGTTATAATTAAAAGACCGAGAACTCGCAATGGTGTAATATTCTGATGCCTTACTCCCTAACAGTGTTTACTTGGTCGAGCATAACTCTATAATTTGCGAAATTTGCTTCGAGTTCCCGGCATGCCGTAATTATCACGTGACAATTATTTAAGTGACTGAAAATGTAGGAAAAACATTGTCCGTTTCTAGAAATGGAATGGCCCTCGAGTTCAGAACTGAACCGGATGATGTACTAGTAAACTGTTTATTTTGAAATAATATGCATATACATTCAACTTTTATCAACGTGTTTGTGGGTTGGGCCATTTATATAGTTTATCGCATTCAGAGAATCCATTATTTTTTCACGCGTGAAATCAAACAGTACTCATTAGCTGTCAAAACATGTGACACGGTAGGTACGTATGGACATTGAAAAATAGTTCCTGTTTTTAGCTCCGCTGTCGACTTTGTCGAGCGGAGCTTATCCTATGAGTGATTGTCCGTCGTCCGTCGTCTGTCGTCCGTGTCAATGTTTTACTTTTTCGACTTCTTCTTGAAAACTACAAGCCTGAATGCTTTGATACTTGGTGTATATGTACCTTGGGTAGACCTCTATCAGATTTGTTCATTTCATGATAATATCTTCAATTCTCTAATTTTGCTTAATATTTTTGTCATTTTTGGTAAAAAGTTATATTTTCGACTTCTTGTTAAAAACCGCAAGTCCAATTGCTTTGATATTACATATATATGAACTACATGTGGTTCTCTCTCAGATTTGTTCACTTCATGATGATATCTTCAATTCTCTAATTTTGGTGAATATTTTTGGTAAAATGTGATATTTTCAATTTTTTGTTAAAAACCACAAGTCCGATTGCTTTTATACTACATATATAGGTACTACATGTGGACCTCTTTTAGGTTTGTTAATTTCGTGGTGATATCTTCAATTATCTAATTTCGATGATAATTTTTGTCATTTTGGGTGAAAAGTGATAATTTTGAATTCTTGTTAAAAACAGCATATTGTTCATTTTCTAAGGATATCTTCAGTTCTTTAATTGAAATGTGCATTGCTAGCAGTGGAGCTATCTCAGTCGACAGGCTGCTTGTTTTTTAATTGCCATTAAAATAGTATTTTGATTTTACATGAACATTGTATTCTGACAAAATAAACAAAAAAGGCACGACTCCCAGTTTGAAAACCAAATTTACAAGCTTACAAATTACTTATAACATCTATAACTCCAATGACCCTATAAAACATTATGTATACTTGTACACAGGTTAGTTCAAACTAGTAACTCTTCAGAAAAAGTACGTCCAACCCGTGTGAGTTTGCCTTTTGTGATTGTTATCGATTATTAGCATTACTTATAATGTGTTACTATTTTTTATTTCAGGAAAAGGTACTTTGAAATTAGAGGTAAGTGGTCTTATTTTAGAGAACATAAAAACTAAACAACACAACGATAGATGAAAACAAACAAATAAATGGCTAAGATATATTTACATATGTGAAGTAAACTGAAGTATACTCTAACATTTTTGGAACTCGACGGCTCGAACCGGCTCCAGCCAGTAAAAATTGTCGTTTAAACGCGTTCGGCTCTGATATAAAGGACTAGCACCGTCATGGGCCAGACCGTGTAATAGCATCGGACCGAAATCGCAACCTCTGTCACCTCGTTCAAATTAAGACCCATTTGAATCACGGGATCTTAGGAGCCGATATCGTTCGCAATTTCTGTACGCAAACTATAGATGAACGAATTGCAGCCCCATTCTTACTTGTCTTCTTAAAGCGACCTTCTTTGGTATGGTCGTCGATATCACGAAGACATCGATATCACGGAGCTTTTCCCGTCTAGATTCAAAGCAGATTCTCAAATATTAAAGGGCGGTAGTCGTCGCGCCACGCATGCGTGAGATATATGACCATCATACAAACAAAGACGGCGACTTCGACTGCTGCGAAGATCAACGAGTGCAAACTGAGACGTTACCAAGCTTTAATTAGGTATTTGTTTGGAGATTGGAAGATATTAAATGAGTCACTGGCGGCAATTAATGCAAGTCGCGCCCTGGATTGTGGGAAAATCAATGTTTATCAACACAAATGTCACACATGCACAGCGCGACGACCACCGCCCTTTAGAAAGATATTGATTCTCAAGTTATTAGAAGCTGTGTTTTAATGCTCTGAATGAACTGAACAGAACTCCGCTATCGTTTGGCCCAAATCGGAGAACGCACAAGAGATAATAATAATTGATGGGAAAAGCAATAGTTCTGCTCCGATAAAATGCTGCCGTGTAATGTAAATCTAGCAAATAACAGACCCTACTCCACGACACATTCGACAATATGTTATTGGGACACGTTACACATGTCACGGTTCGATTCCATTGATATATCGTATTTTTGTAATTGTTTCCATCTGCAATTGCCATACATCACTACATGCACCAGATGTGACCCCTAAATCCGCACCTGTCATCCTACTTTATTATGTTTTCATATTAAGATTCAAAGAAGATCCTCCACCAATAAAGATGGTTTTATTATAACTTGTATTATTCATATACGGGTATGCGATATACCAACTTTAAAACAAATTTTGAAGGAAACCCCACCTCTTAAAGGAGTTCAAAACGGGACCCACTAACCCTTGATAATATCAAAAAGGGACTCCTTGTATAGACCCATTGTCTGCTTTACATACCCGTCAGTAGGTTTCTCCTAGCGACCCCCATGAATTTCCTTACTTTTATTCTCTATGACTGGGCATTTGAAAGTTCCAAAAAAATGGGGTTGCTGAACTATTTTTTTGAAGCTTAGCTTGTTTATTTTGACTAATTTTGAATTCAAAATCCATGACAAACTGGTGTGATCACCAATGCGTTGAAACTGTGAACATAATGCACAAAAATAAGTAATTTATTTTCAACTCGTTGGGATATTTCTCCTACAATATGACATTGGCATATCATATTATATATAACTTTATTCCCAGGTATATTCGTGCATGTAAGGTACTAGTACAACCGTTAGTACCTTCCATGATTCTTGCAAGTGTGTTTCTCTCACCACCACTGTCGGATTTGTTATCGGACATACTCGCTGTTACTTGCTTCTAACATTTACATATTGGGTACTACCGGTAGTATGGCGAAAATTCGAAAAAGGGAGATCATCGATCCCTACTGTGTTAGGAGTATTTCAAACTTAAATGATATGGAGTGTATAAATGCCACGTTTACATATCAGTAATCTGATAACTAGCAGAATTGAAAATTATACTATTCCCATATGCATGTTGTAGGAACGTGACTTCGATAGCATCGAGCATGTATACGTGTTGTGGTGTGAAACGTGTGTGGTATATTATTCTGATGCTAGACAATATCTAAGTTTGGATATCAACCCGTTAACGACATTGTAGCGATTATCCACCGGCTTATACGATTTATTTATATGGTTCAGATAATGAATGGGTGACATAAAAACCGTTGTTTTTAGTCTAGCGAGAAAGTCACCTCAACAGCGAATACAATTCCTACCAATTAGAATTAGCCATGATTGTTGAGTTTGAGAATCTATTTATTAGCTCCTTGGATTGGTTTTCCAGTTCTCAGCGTCGATTATAGTGGGCGCAGTGTCGATGACCTATGCGACGATACCATGCAAAAGGTTAAACGTTTGTTAAGAGTGAATGATATCCCCTATAAACCCAGCAAGTACGATGACGATTCTGTTTAGTAGTACAAAGATAACACCATAAACGTTGAATAAACTACACTCCAATAAATATACCATTCAAATTGAGATATAAATAGAGATATATTTAATCCTCCGTGGACATGAGCAGTTAAATAATAGGTAGTTTCATTTATTGTAACTGTTGAACTGCAGTAGTTCCATGTTATAACAAAGGATTCCTCTATCCACCACGTGGAATGAAACACGTACGTCGGTGTATCGCACCAACGCCAGTCATTTAATTCAGCCTTGCTACGACAAGCCACATGGAAATTGATGATTACAAAAACATCCCAAATCAATCACAGCCGCTTGGGATTGTTTATGTATTTAAAAATCCTCATGTTACTAAACTGTCGTAGCGCTGCTCTTTCCTGGGCGTCCAACTGACTGTACATAACTCGTAAATACACGATTTGTTGAAGTTTATTACGTTTAGCGTAACTTGTATTGGCATTTATGGCCTTAGAGTCTCGGAGGTCACTCTAAATCACGTCTACTGCACATTTGCAAGGGGTTGTCCCCATTTATATCACAAGTAATAATCATCTTCCACTCTATGAGGTCACGTGTACACCTATATGACGCCGAAGGAGAATAGCTAAATTCGCCGATTTACGCATCCGCTTAAAAAATGCTCTTTTCCGAGAAACCAACCATTGCGTATTACTCGGGTAGAACTTGGAGCAAGGCCCATGAAACTAAAAACTGCAAATTTAAATATCGATAACATAACATAATTTGTTGATATATGTTACAGGTTCCAAGGACGACGAAGGGTAAAGCTGAACTCAAAATTTGCGGTAACTGTGACCTACATGCTGGCGGGTACACGTTTCAAAATCAAACGACGGTGACAATTGATGATAAAGGCTCTTCAATCTTTATTCAAACTGACAAACCGGTCTATAAACCGGGACAAACAGGTAACTAGTTATTATTATTCCGGCATGTCAAAGCGTGGTTCACATTGAACTTAGTGTGAGGTCCTAATTACTTTAGGAAATGTATTCCCATGACTTCCGAATGAGGCTCGAAGCTATATCAGTTAGGAAGTCCAGTTACAAACCGACCACGCCCACGTTTGGCCCACATTCCGGAGTTTGTGCAAGAGTTGTCAATAACTCCTCATATATAGAATTAGAATAAGTGTATTTATCTTGTTAGATGGCGCACTCACATGCCAAGTTTCGCCTGTCGTCTGCTAACAAGTTTGTTTTGGACTCCTTAGCTTAGCAAACGTTCACATATCATCCTCGTCGACAGGGGCAAAATTAATATACTGTAAAATACTTTATCCAGCGAATATACTTTTTTTCCTTTATTTTACATTCAACTTGTAAAAAAATCAGTGAAAATAAATTCCATACAAAATACCCAAAATGTCTTTTCAGCGAAAATTAATTCCAGCTGAAATAAAGTATTCTACAGTATTCGGTTGAATGTTTATAGTACACAAACACCAAAAATGCAAAACATCTGTTATATATGAAGCCTGTAGTTAGATTGCCCAATGACAGCATACTATTAATGACACCATATATCGTAATTGTAAAAGCAGCCATGTGTGTTAATCACACCATCTTAGGGAATCTTTTGTAGATTTGATATTTGGAAAGTTGGTTGCCTGTATCGGTGATAATATAGGTATTCACGTTGACTAGATATATCAGAGATATGCGCTATAATACCATTGTTTTTAAATTGTACAATCCTGCACACAACACCAGTGTCATGTTCACGTAAATGGGACGCGTTTTCAGGCGTCATCCATGTTAGCTGAAGTTCTGTAGCT